CACAGGGTAACCTGAAAAATGATTAAATATGGTTTTTACAGATAGATTAAAAGTCCTAATAAACTATATAGAATAATACATAATAAACACAAACAAGCCCTGTTAATTCTATTATCTGTTTTTTTCCTTTAACTCTTTTTAGAATATGTTTAATTACTAAATTAAATCTGATAAAGGTTTGATAGGAAAAAGTATTTGATGACAATATGTTTTCGTAATATGTTTAAAGCAAGGTTTCTTAACCCGGGTAACTTTAGGACTAGTGGACTTCAATTCTTAGGATTCCCCAACCAGCATGAAATCCACACTTCTTAAAGTTGCCAAGTTTGGGAAACCTTAGTTTAGAGAATAACTTTGAGGAGGGTTTTAAAAATAAAATAAAAATAAAATAATAATCTGTATTTCTCAATATATTTTTATAGGTCTGCTTAAAATCAAAGGTGGTGGCAGCAGCACTGGTCAAGACAAGGAGTCCATTTTATCTGACAAATTTGATCCATGTCCTGAAGCAAGGGAGAAGCTTCGTGAAATCTGCCGTCAAATGTGAGCTTTTTCAAACAATTAGGAAAGAAAATGCATTATTTCTACAACAAATAAGCACCAGTGGCTTTCACATATTGCAGTCTCTTAGAAATGCTTCAACTGTATAATAATTTGGTATCTAAACTGGCACAGTATGCACCTTCCATGAAGCAATATCTGGTCACATCTACTCAACCCATCAGAGCTGGGAGGCAGGGAATGCTGCAGGTCCCATCCCTGAGGGAGATACAACTGGTGGGACCCAGAAGAAGGGCCTTCTCCGTGGTGGCTCCCCTCTGGAACATCATTCCCCCAGAGATTAGAATGGCCCCCTCTCTAATACTCTTCCGGAAGCACTGAATACCTGGTTCTGCCAGCGGGCCTGGGGAACCCAGAGCGGGATGGAGCCCAACAAATGGCTCATGTGATCTGCTGTTGTTGGGGCAGGGAGTGGGAGTTGGGGGGTGATTTTTTTTCTCCAGATTTTGTTCTACTGTACTTTATTAATTCATTTGATTCTTTTTGTTAGTTTTTATTGTTTTTTTGTTTTAAATATGGTTTTACATTCTGTAAGCCACCTCGAGTCGCCATGGACAAATAGGCAGTAATATAAATTCAATAAACAAATAAATAAATAAATAAACAAATAAATAAATAAATAAATAATATGGAAATACCAAGTTAGCTAGGTAACATATCTGAAGGCAGAGAGATGCTTAGAGGAACAGTGAAAGAACGTGGGCAAATCACACAGCCAATCAACAGGTTGCAGCATCTGTATCTTATATATTATATGAAAAAGCAATGTATTTCATCAGGGCCTGAAATACAGATGGCCTGGAATAGAGAGGATCCCTATTAGTATGACGCATGCAAGGCTGCTTTCTTGCAGATATGCTTACAAATTTGTGTGTTTATGTTGACTTGTTCAAACCAAATGTTTGAAGTTTCAATAAGATGGTTTCTTCCCACTTCCTTAGAAATGACATTCTAATGAGAATGTCATGGTGGCACAGTGGCTAGAATGCAGTACTGCAAGCTTCTTCTGCTGACTGCCAATCAATCTGATAGTTTGAATCTCACCAGGATGAAGGTTGACTCATCCTTCTATTCTTTTGAGGTCGGTAAAATGAGGACTCAGATTGTTGGGGGAAATACGCTGTTCTGTAAACCACTTAGAGAGAACTGTATTCACTATTTACTATAAAGCGATATATAAGTCTTATTGCTAATCATGTGCATTTGATTCTTAATTTTAACTACTTCAGGTAATGTTCAATGTAAGAATGCATTTTTCCACATATAAAAGTTGTACTTACATTTATTTAAATTACACAGTGGACCACAAAAGTAAATGGTATGTTATATTTATTATATTATATCCCTTTTATCTATCACTGTTGTTAAAGATGTAGGTCAAATATCTATATGTTGAAATATGTTTTTAAAAGTCAAAAATGTCATGAGAAGTACTGACATTTTCACATATATGTAGGTGATAGTGATTTCCTTTCTTATTCTTTTAGGTACGGGGTGATGAGGATTATTACTGCCACAGTACTGTATCCAGAAAAATGTCAACATCTTACTTTATAGTTCTTTTTCTGCAAGATTAGGGCTTAGAACAGGACTGGGGCATCTGTGGCCTGCATGCATTTTCCCAGCCCTAAAAAAACGGGCCAATTAATTTGGTCAACATAAGAGATAAATTACAAAGTGAGGGTGGGATGGGAGCAGATGACTGTCTCTAAAGAACATTTTTTAAAAAAATCATTTTTCATCTTAACTTTGGCCGTTGTTTTGACATTTTGCAGAAATGATTGACGTGTGAACAGAGTGCAAAGCCTCTGAGAGGTGAACTGTCAAATTCTCATACTTATCCCCCCTAAACACAGAAGAAAGTATATTTGATTGTAGCAGTAAATACATACATGCAGCCCCAAAGCAATCTAAAAATGGAACGTTGGGGGGCATTTTTGGACAGATTAGAAGTTTTAGGGGGAGAGGTGGGAGCAGTTTTTCTCTCAAAAATACCTTATTCCAACTGTTAAAACATATTGAAGTTCTATAGGAAGGGCCTGCAAAAATGGGAGTTCGAGTCATTTAAAAACTTCCGGTCATTCAGTGAATGCAGTAGTTTGTCCCTCAGAGGCTTCTTGCTATCATTTCTATCCTGAACTTGTTGCAATAATTGCTATGAAATTTCCAAGGGCCTTTGCAATCTGCTGAGTTGTGGTCCCAGTCCCTCAAATATTGATCTGGAGTGATTTCTCCCTTTCTAACCATCACATACCTTACAACCATGAGGAAAAGATACTTAAGAAAAGCACTGGGTTGCAAAATTGCAACCTGTTATTGTCACAGTTTATAGGGCTTTTAAATACAAACATAAGGAATTACAAGTCATAGTAGAGGGGATAGTATTGATTGGCTCACCTTTCAGTCTTGAGATCCACAGAAATGAAATTGAACACAGATGCTTCTGACTTCTTTCCAAGGAATTAGGGCATAGAAATGATGCAATATGGAAATGCCTTCTATCTCTTTCCAAATACTATCACAACTTGCTAATTTCACTTTATTGCTCTGTTAGGGGAGAATTTCTACTTAATCTCCATTTTCTATGACTGTCAAAATTAAAAAATAATAATATTGGAGTTATCTTCTATTTTCAGTCTTTGATTAAGGAACAAATGCTCTTTCTTGTCTTTCTGTGCTGGCACATAGCATCAATTTAATTTACGTATATAATTATACAAGCAACTTTCATATCCATCTTTAAAGCCTATTAATTGTCATAGGATTATAGCCTGGGCCTTAGACATGTAAATTAATAGCATCATGTAGTGATCCAAATTGAAAGGACAAAAGAAGATTTGGATCACGTGGAGTGTGCATACAGCACACATACAGGCATACCGTAAACCAATCCGTCTTTCCCCAAAATTGGTACATCAGCTGTGAAGTACAGTGATACATTGCTGTTTTAAGGTGTTTCCAGGAGATACTACATGCATGTCCCTGTATCACAATTTGCCCTTTGCATCTGGCTCTGTGCACAGGAAGGTATACGAACTGTATTTCAGCCTTTAATTTCCTAAAAAGCTCAGATTCTAGCTCTCTGCCAAATCTAATATCTAGAAACGGAGTGGTTTTTTTTTTTTGTTGTTGTTGTTAAACAAAATACGTCCAAAACTCTTAACTTGCTCAGTATGGTGTTATTTTAAGTTCTGATTCTTAATATTTATCACTATATATAACATGAAGCAGTGCAATTGTTTCTCTCTCTTTTTTTTTTAGAGAACATGAGAAGTCTGTAGCTATAGCAAAGTGCCACGTGAGACCCCTAATATTGAAGAATTATCCAACTGTGCACAAGTCACCATCTCAGGCCTTGAGAAGAGCTTCCCTGTCTCAATTAGCCGCTGAGATCAGACGTTCAAAACTGAAAAAGTTATTCTTTTCCATTCCTGATGGAACATCACTGATTTAGTATCCTTATTTTGCCAGGGAGCAAATTGGTGGGTTATTGTTACACTTACTAAAACCTGTTAGAAGTATGCAATGTTGAGGGCATGTGAACAGCTGCTCATCCATTTGATCGCTTGCTCTAGCTGCCACCTTCATGTGACTTCCAGGCATTTGAGCGCTGCTATTTCAAAGCCTTCATTGAATAAGAATTTCTCACCTTGTTCTGAGGTTGTGGCGTAGTCATAACTGCTCTACTACGGTTAAATGTTTCAAATATCTATCATTTAAAAGTTCATGAAAATGGAGCAGTCTTAAATCAGTTTCACTTGAGTCTCATTCCTCATATATGGGTTATCCATGACCAGACTTTCTCGAAAGATACTGGTATGCACCTTATCTAAACTGTATCAAATCACCTGGATGTATTTTTCTAGTAGAATTAGTACACTCAGAATTGTTCCATTTTTCAAAACTTTTAATACTTCTGAAAGAGCATTAAAGCCAAACACCTGCCCAGAAATGTGCATGCTATGCAGTTAAGAGGATTCTTACTCTTAATTACACCCTAATAATCCTCCTCTTCCTCTTCCCCAGGAATTAGTTGAAGGAACTGATTGGATGGTTCAACCCCCTGAGGTCAGAGACCTCCTAGTGAAAAAGTTGGCTCCCCATTTCTTTTATGGATCTGCTGCCAGATATGGCAGAACAATGGAAGAAATAAGGAGAGACAACTGCTCCGTCCAGAGTAGAGTCAAAATCAAAAGGACCAAGTTTCCCTGCTACAAAAGAAGAATAGACCTGGAAGACAGTGTCCTAGGACTGGAGGGGAAGAATTAGTAGTCATCTCGACTTTCACCATCCAAATCCAGTAACCCAACCCTACCACTACCCTTGGAATTACTTGGAATTTAATTTTCCAAACCCAAATAAGTGATAGTTATTAATGCCACTAAAGCCATGTGTAGTTCAGTCTTAAAGGATATGTTGGAGCAAGCTGTGAGTCTGTGCTGGTACTCCCATGACTGAATATTATCCATTCCATTTCACGCAACAGGAGTCTAGAATTAAACTCTACAGATCCTTTGCATTCTCTCTCTCCCTCTTCCCCCCTTTTTAATTTCCTTGACATCCACTTGGCTATGGCTTATTTTGGAACTATGTCACAGAAGAACATGCTGCATGTGATCATGCCACGAAACTGGGAATTCTAAAAAGGCAGCAGATTTTTTTCACATCACTATGATGGCTCAGATGACTCTTTCTCTTTTAACAATGTGATGTAAACAAAGGCCTGGATGGAAAGCCTTTATAGCCCCCCTGTTAGAGTTCATTATTTCGGCTAATAGGTTCATCTGCTATGATGGCATAGGTTATGAAAATGTGAGAGGGAAATAGTCTCTCAAGCAGGCTGTTGGACAGAATGAGCCATTCAGGGCTCCATTAGAAAATACTATGCTGCAATCTGGAAAAGATTTCACTACTTGTAAGTTGACCAGGTTCAGCATGTAGGTAGGTGCAATAGACTTAGGGCATGGGGTGATAACTGGAAGTTGCCCAAGAATGTGATTTCATCAGGGTTGCATGGAAAGGTTTTTGCTGATGCAGAGAAGTTGCCAACTCTTCACTTTCTCCCTGCAAACTAAGTCTCTTCCCTGCTTCCTTCAGATGATTTCTGAGCATCACAAACATGGGAACTGCAGGAAAAGTTCCATATGCAGGTCTCTCCTCCAAGCATTATGAAATAATTCCAAGCTATGAAGAAACTGTGTCACCATGTTTGATCTGAAATATCAAAGGATGTCAATTACATTCACTGTCCCCTGTGACTGAGCATGCCCAGTATGGGAAATTCAGCAGGAAATCATCCAAGGTTTGCACTTGAGGAAGATCTATTGCACAGTGCCATTTTTATTTTTTATCCTTTCACATTATGTGGTTAGACTCATATTGAGGATAGTATCTCCTTGCAACTTCAAAGGGCCAAAAATTTTCCATACTCTCTGAATGAATAGCTAAGTAAACATCATTTTCATGTGTGCTATTACTTGACCTAATTCAAAGTTATCCATCTGGAAATATTGCAGTTTTCCAATTTCCCATATGCTGCATAGGAAAGACAATCACCTTTCTATTTCAGGATGTTCCAACTCAAGGATTTTTAGGCATGTTTTCCCCAGGCCACTCATGTCTATCTTATTCCTTTAAATCAAGGTGAGTGACATTAATTGATCCTAATGTTTGAGGTGTGTAGAAATGCAACAGAGAAAGCATCCATTAATTGATAAGTAATCATTGAATTATTAAATCAGAAGAAATATTAGTGTATTAATAGACCAATTCCATCAAATGGTTGAAACCAATATTTTCATATTTTTGTTTACATTATGTTAGTTCTCTTGAGACTAGCCAAGTTTCCTGTAGGAGAAGTGTATAGTCATTCAGAACATCATAATTGTATGTGATTTCTTCACAGGATCTTTTTCTGTCCAGTACATTCTGTCCAGTACATTCAATACAAAATTTCATTTTGTAATACTAACCACAAAAAACATAAAGTTATTAATGAATGCCTGTAGAAATTCATTCATTAGTGGAAAAATTTCATATAAGGGGGAAATTATTTCAGTTTTACAGATGAATAATCAGAAAAGAGACTAGTACAAGGTGACATAACTAATCAGTGTTATGGGACTTTTAAAATCAGGTCAACTAGATCCATTTAATCTGGCTATTTTATTGTCATGATTCCCATCCATCACTCTTTTTCTAAGTGAAGTAATTAGATATCCTGAATCTCTGGCTTTAAGGAGCATGTGATATAGCAAGCTATTAATGGCCTATGTTAAAAGCTTAACCCCACTGGGTGTAATTAATGATGATGCCACATGGTGTAACTAGGAGAGAAAAAGGTCAACAAAGTGATGAGCAATTGGGATACATTTCAGAGGTGGACTGTATGAGACCAACATAAAATTTGGCCTGAAGTGATGGCATGAGACATTTCCTGAGAAATAAAGAGCACCAAGTACATAACAATTGAGAGAATTTAGGAAACACCACAGAGAAGAAGTGGGAGCTGGGTAGTACACCAGTGAAAATTTTGCTTCTTCAAGGAGATATAACATTAGGTGGGTTAGGTAAGTTAAAAGTCTGAGGAATGCACTGATGTTCAACGACTCAAACTAATTTTGAGTTGAGCATCTGTATTCATGACACTTGTTCTTTTGAACAGATAAAATGGGGCTTTGAAACATCTATTAATACCTAATTTCAAATAGAAATATGTATTTTAATTGCTATTTTATCCAACAACAAGATTCACTATTATGCAGTTATATTAAAATATGTGTACTGTGTAGTTTTCATATTTGCAGGAACTCAGCTACCAGTATACATCATGATACAAACTCCATCCCATATGAACGTGTGTGTAATCACATCACAAATACAAAAGGCAGAGCTTGTGTCATGATATCACCTCTTATGTTTTGCCATTTTGGCATCACCATGAGTAGGAACCAACACCCTTGATCATAGCTATGTTGTATTGTACAGACACTAAATGGATCAAAAATACAGTATAACAGAGCAGTTCACTGAGACAGAACTGTGGGCTTAGGACCACGGAATTCTTCAATATTTATTATGCTCATAATATTTTTGCAATGAGAGGAGCTAAAAATATTACTAGTTAACATCTTCAGCGCAACCTTATAGTATTATTTGCTGTGATTTGACTGTTTTCCCCCTTACTCAGCTTTTCTGTGGCGTTACTGATAAATCAGCAAGGTGGAATAGTTAGAGACAAATACGGCCAATTAACCCACCACTGGAATTGGTATTCCAGAAAAGAAGTTCTACAGTCTTTAGATTTTCAGGTATGAATTTTTCAGGAATAATTTTTAGGTATCTTACTAATGAGATACTACCATTGTTCTTGGCAGTTTTTAACAATTACTCTACATTTTTAGGTCAATCATGTTTTCAGTTGGGTTCAGGTTCTACAAATACCAGAGAGCATTATTCCAGTGTGTCAAACTCACATCGTCATAGCGGTGTCACGTGACGTATCACCACTTTTCCCCCTTCACTAAACCAGGTGTGGGCATGGCCAGTGCATAATGCATCTGGCCCAGGGCCACAAGTTTGACAACCCTGATGTATTTGGGTTGATTCCTTGTGGTTACTACTTTCATGCATTGCCACCAAGTACTGAAACATGTTTTTAAAATATGTGTCCTTACTACCATATGGTAATACCTGTTGTCAAGGATTAGACCCTTAGAAAAAAAATGCATTGACAAAACAGAATTTGAGGCAGGAAGGCAGACAGTAGGTTACAGTGAAATAAAATGGTTTTCCTAGGTGGCCACAGTTACAGAACACACACACTTTTTGCTGCTAATTAGTTCTCATTTGGATTTTTGCAGGTCTACGGGAGCTTGAGATCTATTCCTCCTTTCCTAATGCTATCCATGATACAAATAGTGATAAAAAAGCAAAGTGCCCCATAGGATCATGTGATTTTTACTTTTGCTTCCTGACATTTCTAATATAAATATGAAATCTGGTGAGGCTTCATTACCTTGAGAGCAAAAATTATTGCTTCTTATTTCAAAGCCTCTATTGACACCAATGAAAATTATTTTGTACATTGTAAAGAACATTTTCATAGTCATTGTCACCCTTTAACTGAAACGTTTAAGATTTTCTCAAGCCAAGGTCAATTCCTGGTTAACCACGTGAACACAGCAGTGCAATTTCTTGACAGTAGTTTAGAAGGAGTTTGCCACTTCCTCCTTTCCAGGATATGGATCATCGTCATCGTCGTCATCATCATCATCACCTCAGTCTAAAATATATTTCCTAGATTCCCTCCACTGAAATACTAACCAAGTACAGTTGTGCTTAGGTTTCCAGTCTAGAGAGAGTTGGCCAGGTAATACCACCATTAGTATAATTAATGAAGTATCTAATGTAAACTCAAATTTTCAATTTGTCTCAGATTGTGTTTGCTGTGGTTGTATACACATGTGTTAGTTTCAGCCTATGTGCATCTTTGCTAGTCGAGTTAAGACTGTCAGACAGGAAAGCAGTGGGAAAATATCAGTTCTGTATGAATCTGCCCCATGACTCTGTTTATCTTTTTTTTATTTCTTAGATAAATGAAAACTTAAAATTAAAAGTCCTTAGCCAAAATTCCATGACCATTACTTTTGCTGCCTTGAATGAAAACCTCACCTTATCTTTGATAAGACCTGGATGTCTGCATGGATGCAAAGCTGATAAGCAGGTACCAATCACCTAATGAAAGCATACACCCCGGGTTTGTTTGTTTTTAAATGGAGGGCTGATTTTCACTGGCACAATAAAGGAATCTCTCTTCATTCTGTAACCCTAATTAAAAGTCAGGAGAATTTCTGCTTGCCCATGTTGCATGTCCAATGGCCCCATTAGGAGAGACCCAGTGTGGTAAAGTCGAGAAAGTATTGAAGTAGCATTGGGAAGATCCTGTTGTGGCCCGTCGGCTGCCAGCAGAGCTAGCAGCAGAGTCAGACGAGGAGGAAGTTGAGGGAGAGCCTGGGTCAGCTGATTAGGAATCAGCATCAGAGACAGAGGCAGAGCTGGGGCCTTCCCTTCTCCATCAGGTGGAGAGGCCTGAATTGATTGAGTGGGAGGACCAGATGAGGTGTATGTGCAGAGAGGAAAGCAATAAGCTGGCTCTCAGGGAAAAGCAGAGGTGGATGCTAGCCAGCTCCTCCCTGGCTGGAAAATAAATAGTAGATGTTTGGGAGTGGCCAGTTGTCACAGACAACCGTTTGTTTTCTAGTGCACAGCAAGCAATTTGGATTCCTTGGCCAGAACCAGGTTTGTTGGGACTAATTACGTCTGTATTTTTGTTTATCCACGGTAATAAAAAACTGTTCCTATCCTGTTTGAGTAAGCAAGTAAGCAGCTTATCCTTACTTGCTAAGGCTGGGTCAGAACAGATTCTAGTTCAAATTCACTGTCAGTTATGAATGGTCCCTGAGTGACTTTAGGCCGGGTAGTGTTTCTCAGCCAGCCTACCTCACAGGATGGATTTGTAGGGAAAGGGGAGGGGGGAGGAAAGAGTGCAGACAGTCCTTGTCTTAGATCAGTTCACCTAGTGACTGTTCAAAGTTATAATGGCACTGAAAAGAAGTGAGTTATGACCATTTTTTTCACACTTATGACTAGTGCAACATTCCCATTGTCGTGTGATCAAAATTCATACGCTTGGCAACTGACTCATATTTATGACCATCCGGGGGTCATGTGATCACCTTTTCTGACAATGGGGAAGCCAGATTCACTTAACAACCATGTTACTAATTTAAGAACTGCAGTGATTCCCTTAACAACTGTGGCAAGAAAGGTTGTAAAAATGGGACAAAATTCACTTAACAAATGTCTCGCTTAGCAATAGAAATTTATGGGCTCAACTGTGGTCGTAAGTTGAGGACTGCCTGTACTGTGTATACCATATTGAGTTGAAACAAAGAAGGCACCATCACTAACAGATAACAGAAAGCATGGTTGAGTATCGTGCTTCGGTGATTCCTGTCTTCTAATGCTTGAATAAAACACTTACGGCATTAGAGTATCATGCCCTTATAACCTTAAACCCAGTTTTTCTGCTTACCGGCAAAATTAAATTCTGCAATAAAAGCGATAGACAAATTATACCACATTCTATCTTATTCCCTTCTCCCCCTCCACCCACAATACACGCTGCACTTGGCTCTTTTCAAATGGCTTCCCTGGAGTTCCATTGACCTTTCAAAAAACAACCCCAGGAACTTTACCGAAACCCGCAGTAAGGACAACTTTCTTTCCAGAAGGAAATTGCTAGGTCCCTTCCCCCAAAATATTTATATTGTGGATGCACTTTTGTGGAAAGACAGCCTTTGCATTAAAATGTTTTATGACTCCACTGGTTGCCTTCACAGGGTGGCTGAATGACATATTTATCAGCCACGTGGTGTTAATTGGCCTATTCTTTAGATTAAAAAGTCATCGGTTGCTTGTCATTTCATTCTCCATCTCCTACTGCTTTTATATTTATCCCCCACCCAGACATGCAAACAGACACACTGCAAACCATACATTTTAAATTGCTTTTGTTAAGCAGAAACAAAGAAAAGCTATGGGTCCGAGCATTAAGGAAATGAAAAATGGTTTGAAGATGAAATCCATGAAGATGAGATACAACGAGTGGCCCCATGTTGATCTGGCAATTTTGATCCCTTTCAAGCCAGTTCAGGAATGCTCCAAAGGGGAAAATTCAGCAGGATTGGCGCTTTCAAAAGATTTATATGTTCAGGTGTAGAGAGAAGAGCATTTTGAACACATGGATCTGGTCATATCTGAGTTTTTAAAAAGATGCTTTTGTATGTGAAATGTGTAAAGATGAGATACAATAGCTCATTCCATTTTTATTTTTTTTCATTCTTCTTGTCTTCAAATCCTCTCTCTCATTCCTTTGCTAAAAATTAGAGTGAAAGAAAAGGTGTGGAATGTTTATTTTCAAGGAGAGACTTTTCCCCTTGAAAACTGGTCTTAACACTACAAACCCTTTCAGCTGAGGGAAAACGCTGATATCAAACAAGCTGCTGTATAAAAAAAATGAGAATGTTCCCTGTTCCTATACTAGAGAGCTTGTAGCTGAAGCACATAGTTTATACTTTTTTTAAAAAAAGAATCTAAATAAAGGTGATTTTGTTTTAGTACAATAAAGAGGATTTCAGAACAGATGCCTTTTTGCTTAGCGTGACAGCTGCATGTCAGTTCTTTTGCTATCGTTTGTCACAGACTTATTGCACAAAATAGGCAATTCTCTTTTATGCTTCTTCTAGCACAGAATTATTTATTTTACTCCAGCACCAGGAATTACAGAGATAACTTCGGATCTATATGGAAAGTAAATCGAGTCTTTTAATGATCAATTAATAGTATTACTAAAGAGCCATGGTGGCTCAGTGGTTAGAGTGCGGTATTGCAAGCTACTTCTGCTGACTGCCAGCTGCCTGCAATTTGGCAGTTTGAATCTCACCAGGCTCAAGGTTGACTCAGCCTTCCATCCTTCTGAGGAGCCAGATTGTTGGGGGCAATAGGCTGACTCTGTAAACTGCTTAGAGAGTGCTGGAAAGCACTGTGCAGTGGTATATAAGTCTAAGTGCTATTGCTATTACTGGCAACTCTCTATCATGCCATGTCTCAGAATGAACAGAATGACCATGAGATTTCAGTTCTGGTAACATCCACTGCTAAATCTGATAGGCAGTGGTTTATTATTATCTGAGGTCTTATTTCTTACATGGTGCTCAATACTTTTAACTGATCATTCCAGAGGTTGAACCTGGAGACCCCCACATAATGGTTTTATCCATTAACCTATAATCAATTCTCTTTCAGTTTCCAGGGTACACTCCAGATCTGGATTGTCTCCAGATCTCATACTTAAGAGTCATTCTGCCCATTTTATTTGTTCTATTTGTCCTATATGGATTCCAATTATTGGCAGTTCTATCCTTTTTAAAGCTTCCTTCTTAAGATTAGAATTTCTGAAATTCTCAAGTAGGTGTAGATTCTTATTTTAAAAATAAACTTTAAAAAACAATATTGTAACAATACATGTGATTGAATGCAGCAGAAAGGAAGTGGGGTAGAGATAATCTGCATTGAGGGACTATCTCTAGAGTAAATTCAATGAAGACGATGTCCTGCTAGCCTCAGAAATTGCCAGCCTAGTGTAATAAGAGCCCTTAGTTGACTCCAATAAGGAGAAAGATTGTGGAAATAGCTGTACATATAACAAGGCAGATCTTTTCTGAAGCAAATTTGGCCTTTTAAGTATTTGTTCTTGGATACAAAAACTGTTTCATTGTCCACTAATTGGAAAACCTGCAGGAAGATAGGAGAGAAACTAGGAGAGGTATTGTTTAAAAGCCTTCCGTAACCATATCTTGACTTAAAGAAATTTGCATTGCTGAAACAATCATTCCTGATATTGCTTATGTTACAAACAAGGAAAAATACATGTTTTCTCTGTGTTAAATCTGATAATTTCCCAAGAAATCTCATCTCTTCTCCACTCCTCTTTTCTTTTCTCTTGGCTGAGTCTTACCTCATATGATGTCATAGCTAAGAAAAAATGAATGCAATGCAATTCTTGGTCTAAAAAGTCACTAAATTCTGCTATTGTACAATGATGCCTGCTTAGATTTCCAGATGCCATAATGCAGTATTTTTTTAAAATCATACTCATGTCCCTTTTTCCTTTCCAAAGTTAAAATACATTGAAGCTGATAAGAAAGAACATTGGAGAAGAATCCTTATTGACATTAAAAGGAGGTTTCAGAAAACTACAAAACAATTTATAAACAGTGTTTTGATGATTTCAGGTATTGTCATTATGCTGGGTTTATGAAATTCACACTGCTTTATTAATTAACGTGTATAGTCATGTGCTGTCTCATACAAATGTGTCTTCATAATGTACCTTCTTCGTAATAACATGGAATGGTGATAACATTAAATTTGAAATGAAATGAATAATGGTACATTATCTTAAATTTCAGAATTTCAGAAATGATGAAATGATACAGATAAATGTTGTGAAGAAACCAGTGGTCAAATTGTGCATTCCAAACTGTTTATCTGAAGTAACATTGAGAACTATTAAACTGATTCCTTCTGGGTTTTGTGCTTGAATTGTTCAAATAACATTTGTAGTTGTTGCTGCAGGAAGTAAGAATGATTACAAAAGTAGACATTTTTGTAGTCTTCCTCCTTCAGCTGGAAAAGGCTTCTAAACATTAATTGTAGCCCTAGTTTTCACACAGAATGTAAATAGGCATTGTAGGAAGGAAAGAAGAAAAAAGAATACTATATGGGGTGTTAATGTTCTTTCTCATATGGATGATAGATAATATACATCTGTAGCTTCTTTATCCAATGGACAAGCTAGATTCCATCTTGCTAAGACATTTTTCTTGAGAGATAGGAGGCATTGCCTCTCAGATCTTTCTGGCAAGAAGAGTGGCAATCTTGCTTGTGTAATTGTTATAACTTTGATAATAAGACAGTTGTAAGCATATTTATATACAGTAGAAGTGATAAATAGATTTAAGGAATTAGATCTGATAGACAGAGTGCCTGAAGAACTATGGATGGAGGTTCGCAACATTGTACAAGAGGTAACAACTAAAACCATCCCACAGAAAAAGAAATGGAAGAAAGCAAAATGGCTGCCTGAGGAAGATTTGCAAATAGCGGAGGAAAGAAGGGAAGCGAAAGGGAAGGGAGAAAGAGAAAGAGACACCCAATTGAATGCAGAATTCCAGAGAATAGCTAGAAGAGAGAAGAATGCCTTCTTAAATGAACAATGCAAAGAAATAGAAGAAAATAATAGAATAGGGAGGACCAGAGATCTCTTCAAGAAAATTGGAAATATGAAGGGAACGTTTCATGCAAAGATGGGCATGATAAAGGACCAAAATGGCAGGGACCTAACAGAGGCAGAAGAAATTAAGAAGAGGTGGCAAAATTACAAAAGAACTATACAAGAACAAATTTAACATCCCTGATAACCACAATGGGGTGGTCACTGACCTTGAGCCAGACATCCTAGAATGTGAAGTGAAATGGGCCTTAGGAAATCTGAGCCACAACAAAGCTAGTGGAGGTGACAGTATTCCAGCTGAGCTATTCAAAATCTTAAAAGACAATGCAGTAAAAGTTCTATACTCAATTTTCCAGCAAATTTGGAAAACTCAACAGTGGCCACAGGATTGGAAAAAGTCAGTTTACATTCCAATTCCAAAGAAGGGCAATGCCAACTACTGCACTCATTTCACATGCTAGTAAAGTTATGCTCAAAATCCTACAAGCTAAGCTCCAGCAGTATGTGGATCGAGAACTACCAGAAGTACAGGCAGGATTTCAAAGAGGCAGAGGAATTAGAGACCAAATTGCCAACATACACTGGATCATGGAGGAAGCTAGGGAGTTCCAGAAAAACATCTACTTCTGCTTCATTGTCTATGCTAAAGATTTTGATTGTGTGGATCACAACAAATTCTGACAAGTCCTTAAAGAGATGGGAATACCAAACCATCTTATTTGTACCTATATGTGGGTCAAGAAGCAACAGTGAGAATTGGACACAGAACCACTGATTGATTCACTGATTGGGAAAAGAGTTCGGCAAGGCTGTATACTGTCGCCCTGCCTATTTAACTTGTATCCAGAGCACATCATGTGAAAGGCAGAGCTAGATGAATCAAAAGTTGGAATTAAGATTGCCAGGAGAAATCTCAATAACCTCAGATATGCAGATGATACCACTCTAATGGCAGAAAGTGAAGAAACACTAAAGAGCCTCTTGATGTGGGTAAAGAAGGAGAGTGCAAAAGTTGGCTTGTAACTCAACATTAAGAAAACTAAGATCATGGCATCTGGCCCCCTCAATTCCTGGCAAATAGATGGGAAGAAATGGGGGTAGTGACAGATTTTATTTTCCTGGGCTCCAAGATCCCTGCAGCCAAGTAATTAAAATACGCTTGCTCCTGGGGAGGAAAGCTTTGGCAAGTCTAGACAGCATACTAAAAAGCAGAGACATCATCCTGCCAACAAAAGTGTGTATAGTCAAGGCTATGGTTTTCCCAGTTGCAATGTATAGTTGTGAAAGTTGGACTATAAGAAAGGCTAAGCACCAAAGAATTGAGGTCTTTGAACTATGGTGCTGGAGAAGACTCCTGCAAGTCCCTTGGACTGCAAGGCAATCAAACTGGTCAATCCTAGAGGAGATCAACCCTGATTGCTCTTTAGAAGGCCAGATCTTGAAGATGAAACTCAAATACTTTGGCCACCTAATGAGAAGGAAGGACACACTGGAGAAGAGCCTAATGCTGGGAATGATTGAGGGGAAAAGTTGAAGGGGATGGCAGAAAATGAGGTGGCTTGATGGAGTCACTGAAGCAGTCGGTGTGAGCTTAAATGGACTCTGGAGGATGGTAGAGGACAGGAAGGCCTGGAGGAACATTGTCCATGGGGTCATGATGGATCAGACACAACTTCGCAACTAACAACAACAACAACGCAGAAATAATTGTGAAAAGTTGGGAATGTACCTTACAGCAGGGGTCCCCAACCGCCGGTCCGCGGACCGGTACCGGTCCGCGGAACAAGTCTTACCAGGCCGCTGGTTGCTGGGCGCCGCCATCTTTTTCGTCAAAAAAAGATGGCGGCGCCCAGTTGATGCCGGTACTGGGCTGCGGCGCCCAGCTGATGCTGGTACCGGGCCGCGGCGTCAAAAAGGTTGGGGATCACTGCCTTACAGCATATAAGATACATTCTGGACTTTGGATGCAGAGGTAAAAGGCTCTTGAGTGTACACATGATGGTGAACCTGCCTGCAACTCCTTAAACCACCTCCCAGATTATCCCAGAAAAAGATCATTGTTTTAAGGAGTTTGCAAATATTTGGTATATTACAAACTCCTTTCTACTCCAAATATTGTATATGAACATCTTTTCTACTCCAAAATGTTCTTTGCTATTTGGGGAGGGACCACAGTTCCATGTTAGAGCATAGAGATATAGGTATATATCTGGGAAGACATTTATATAACACTAGCTTCTCTGTGTTCAGATAGCTGGGAAAATATGGTATTTATCTATTTGCCCAGATGAGTTTGGATCAGAGTTAGCATAACCAAATTCTTTGAAGGGTTTTTAAAAGAACGATCTTTTGCACTAATAAAATCCAAAGGATCATTTACTTTACTGTAAAGTAAAGTAAATTTACTGTCCCACCCTGTATATCTGTAAAAAGTAGTTGATTGTTATTGCTACCATTGTTATTTTTTATCACATTGTTATTAACTTTACAATAATTTTTAAAATATATTATAACCTTGGTAATCTGCCCGATATTCTGTTGATTGGCAGGAATATGCTGCATAGATTATCCGCCTGAGTTTCGTACGAAACCTGTGAAGTGTAAAACAGTGGATTCACCACTACAGACCTGGGATCGAAAGCTAAGAGAAGAAGCTATGGCTTTGGTTTCAAAACCAAAAGAGAAACAAGCTGTCAGGCCAAAGAGCTTACCCAGTTATCACCCAATTAAGAGAAAATTTAGGCCTCCATCACAGTAAGTGGGACAATCTTTTGGGGGAGGGAATTCTCTGAAAAACAAGATGAAATAGGGGGATAACAATATGCTCCTTGTACAATAGAGACACTGGAGTCAGTCACAAAAGGCTAAGTGAGAGAGTGAATAGGTCCAAATGGTGCAAGAAGCATCATGGTGCTCATCCCTTTTGTACATGTGTCTTGATGTGGCAAGCTGTACAAAGAGGGCCAAGTTTATACTGCAATGATGTGATGCTGCTTTTGTCACATCGACAAAAATGCTGGATCCTGCTGATGTTACAAAAGATGTCTTAGAGTTCACTTCTGGTACTTTTTATGCTCCTCAGAAGACATACCAACAATGACAGTGCTTGCTTACTTTGGGCCCATGACTTGCTGCTTTATTTATTTCAGCACCTAACTTGCATTGATTATGTGCCATTAAGTTGGTGTTGAATTTTAGAAGCCACATAGGTAGATTTTCTTTAAGAAGTTCTGTCACCTACCTGATCTTTCAGACCAATAGTGTACCCATTTTCACTGTAATTGGGTCCATCCTTCCTGTTGATCCTCCTTTTCATTTGTTTCTACGTTTCAGTGGTGGGATTCAAAAATTTTTACTACCAGTTCTGTGGGCATGGCTTGGTAGGCATGGCAGGGGAAGGATACTATAAAATCTCCAGTCAGAGGTGGTATTTGCCGGTTCTCCAAACTACTCAAAATTTCCACTACTGGTTCTCCAGAACTGGTTAGAACCTGCTGAATACCATCTCTGCTATGTTTCCTAAGTGACACTACTTGGAAAACATTCTGAGGAAACTGGCATATAGACAAACAGATCAAGCCATACATATTTTGCTTTACTCATGTTATACATATTGATATTAGTGCTATTGAATTGCAAAATGATGGTGAGATGCTGAAGGACAGATGTGTCATTTCTATATGCATGACATCCTCTAAGCCAGCCTGAGGCCATGTAGTGTAGTGGAAAATGTTATATATACACTAGACATTGAAGAAGTCTTCCAGTTCTAATCTGATTGTATATGTTATGGGAAAGGAATATCTTTTTATCCTTTGAAGCAACAATTGAGAGCAGCAGCATATCTTGAACTGGTCTTAAACTTGTGATTTATAAGCAGACAAATTCAAAAGAGGATAAGAACTCCAAATTAGATAGATCAGATTGGTGAAAAGCAAAAGAAACTACAAACACTAGTGTAGAATTTTACGAATTATTTCAGGAACACACAGTTTATAGACATAGGACCACATACAACACTTTACTGCAAGGCATTAATAGCAATAGCACTTTAGACTTATATACCACTTCACAGTGCTTTACAGCCCTCTCTAAGCATATTGTCAGCATATTGCCCCCCCCCCAAACAATCTGGGTCCTCATTTTACTGACCTTGGAAGGATGGAAGGCTGAGTCAAACTTGAGCCTGGTGAGATTGGAACTGGAAAATTGCAGGCAGCCAGCAGTCAGCAGAAATAGCCTGCAGTATTGCATTCTAACTATTGCGCCATCACAGCTCTTAATTAATTTAGATTCATCTGCCTTTTCTCTGGCAGCTTTTCACATTGAGTTAAAAATGGAAAAACAGAAAAGAGAGTGTTCAGAAAAAAATAAAAAGTGGCCCCATTCAGTTTGGCTCTGGAGTCATTATTGGGAGCAAACACTCCCAAACAAATTACTCCTAAGAGACCATCACTTTTTTTTGGGGGGGAGGGAGTTTTTTGAGGGAAAAAGTATTAAATGAATGGAATAAGTAGGCAGATATGTGGCTTAAGATAAGAGTGGATAAGAGTGAATCTGTTGTGGTTGTTGCTGTCTTCTGGATTTCAGAAAACCTTTTTATTAATGGCTTCCTAATTATAGGGCGTTTTCTCCCTAAAAATGCCTCATATAACTTTTATTGCCCTTTTGTTAGCCCAAAAGCTGCCTGACAGTTCTAAGATACTACTTTAATGTTGTAGCTTTTACTTTTATATGCATATGTGTCTCTCAGTAAGCTCATCAGATTTGTTTTTTAGCTATGGCTATTTTTGTAATTACTGGGGTGGTATGATTGAAGGGCAATGTGTTTTATGCTACACTTTATAATAAATATCCCCTGGATGGTTAAAATAATTTAATACTATAAAAATAAACCCATAGTGAAAACTTAAACATAATATGAACTATCCATTACCTATATCTGATAATTATCACTATAAAATTTGAGTTGGATTAGTGAGTGGTAGAACCATTTTTATATCCAATCATTTTATAACTGCTTGGGGGTCTATATTAGATTCTGAAAAGTAATAAGGCTAGTATATAAAATATAAGCAACACAAGCACTGATAAAAGTAGCGCAATTTTTAAAAACCTCTAAAATAGCTTAATATTAAAAAATATCAGGGAAACGGAAAGCTTTGTCTGATGTTGATTCTCTGGACAGAATATTTCAAAGATAGATAAGGCCTTGTCTGTCAGACATGGCTGCACTCATTCAATACGAGCATCAGGGTAAAATATCCAAAGTTATTGTAGAAAGAAGAATTACTTCAAAGGATACAAGCTCAACCATTTAGAGTTTGAAACATGAATACCAGCATTTTGAATTTAGAATGGAAACAGTTTGGCAGCAAGTTCATATGAAAAATATGGGTTGCATATATTCATATTGTATTCAGTAGTCCTAGCTATTTAGTAACCTGATATTTGATTCCAGTAGAAAAGAAATTTGATTGACTGAGTCTGGACCCACTGATATTTTTTGGTCTATTTTCAAAGGCAACCCTCCACTATAGTACAGGTAATCCTCAACTTACTACTGCCATTGAGCCTGAACTTATGGTCAAAAGTCATGCCAGTTATTAAGGATGTCACCACATGGCCATGGCCAATTTTATGTCTTATTTTGTAGCAATCATGAAGTGAATTTATTCTTAAGGAATCCATTGTTTTCAATGGGCATTTTTTGCCAGAAACTGAAAGTAAACTCTAGTTTTCAACCCCAAAAACATTGTAAATTGTGGTCATGTGACTGGAAAGGTGCTGCAAATGACTGTAAATCAGGCAGGTTGCTGAGCACCCAAAAAGCGATCATATGACCATGGAGCAGGGTGGGGTCTGGCTATCAGAACTCAAATCTGGGTCATACATTAAGTATCCCTGGGGAAGCCTGTTATAATTTTGAATAGTCATAAGTCAAGAACTGCCTGCACACCAAAACAATCATTGTAACAAAGCTAGCCTTTTACAGGCATTTTGTGAAATGGCAGGATTCTTTCTCCTGATTCTTTCCCTAATCCTTGTCCTAATTATTAAGGTAGAACAAATGCACCAGTTCTACAGTATCTTCTCTATATAAGCTTCAATGTTCCTTTCTTTTATTATAATTCCCGCTTGACTATGTAGTATTGCATAATCTCACTTAACTAGCCAGATAATCATTGTAAAGAAAATAGTAGAAGAGGTAACAAGAAAGGGAGATGTCTTAATGCCAGTATTGGAGTGAGGAAGGGGGGCTGATTTGAAATTAAAAAATTAGGGTCCAGGTAAGATTTGAGTAGAGTCTAGATACCATTTGCTTTTCATTTACTGTGTTCCAAATGTACCTCTAATACAGATTAATATTTTGAATAGAGAATTCAAAGTGTATTGAAAAATGTACACAGCACTATCACGGATACTTTCCAGTTCTTGTGTTTCAAATATTACTTACCTGTTTAATTTTCCATTTCTTTTTTCTCATTCTTTTCTTTCTAACCTCTTCACCTGCTTCACAACAGAGCCAAAGAAGAGATCCCAGATGGAAGCCCTACCCTTGAGCCGTGGGCAATTTATCCTATGGACTGTCCAATTGTGCTGCGCAAAGTTTTGACCAAAACTAATGAAGGTTTAGGTTGCAAATGTGTAGTCAAAATCCCATTAATTACAGACTTAGAATTTGAAAAGTTTATCACTGCCCCAAGAGACCCTCAACAAGTCATTGTGATATGTGTGTTGTCACCACAAAAACATTCCTACTCTCCTTTCTTTGAGTGGTCTGTTGAACAGGTGTACATAAAGATGCAGCATGGCCGTCCCTCACCTTGTATTCAGGTAAACTAAATGTTGATGCTTTATACATGGATTTTCCCAAAGCAGGTTCATTCTTCTTAGCTAATCACTGTTTCTATTTTATGGAGATGAAGTAGTAATGTAAGAGTAGCATGCCAATAAGGGAGTTCACTGACTACAGAATTTGGCTCGGGCTATTTGTTATTTTGTGATTCAGAAAAGAATGAGAAGCAGCCTACTTATTTATTTAATCACATTTACAGGATTTTTGCTATTGATACTTGGGACATGAAAATCAAGAGTCATTCATTAGTAGAGAATTTTGTTTTCTTTTAACTCCTGTAAGATGGACTGTGGGAGAAGGAAAAAGATTCATCAATTAAATAAATGTGATAAAGAAGTCTCTCCAATCTGAATTACAGTGGTTTCAACCTGGATTGAGGCCATGTGTGTGTATAATAAAGTAAAAAAAGAATAAATGAAAGGATTAGCTGTTTACTACATAACACAGTATAAGCCAGATCCTAACAAATAAACCCTGACAGCCACAACAGAAATTATCTTGAAATAAATGTTCATAATATTGCATTGCAAATTATGAAAAAGAACTACATCACAGAATTTTATTTTATTTCCTTAATTTATTCACAAAAATCTGATTAGCTGTCAGATTATGAAAAAGGGAATATACACCCCTCAGCTGAATCCATTTTCTCATCTGTTTTTCCCCACAAAACAAATTGGTGGGATTTGCTGTAAATTATATATTATAAATGTCTGTTACCACTGTTAATTAAAGTAGAATTGCCTTAGCAGATCAAGGCAAGAATCATCTGCTCCACCATTTTTTTCCGACAGTGGCCATTTTACTGACTCTTGTTTGAACTCAGGATCTTGGAGTTTATATTTGTTCTGAATATCAAAGTTTAATTTAGCTGTTATGATCCTTAAACAGTTATAGATGTCTCCCCCAAGAATTTCACCACCCTCTTAAAGTATATTAACATAACAAAAAGATTATATTTTAAGGGCAGATGAGATAATTATCTCCGGTTACTCTTTATGTTTATTTCAGACATCTGACTTCAGCTTCTGTTTTTTTAGAGGAAAAATGATGAGCTATCTGGAATTTTAATTGTATGCATGTTTTGGTTTTTAGTTTTGGGATTCTTTTTTTCATAGCTTTACTTTTTGATCTGGCAATCAGTTTTAGCTGCCAACTTAATTTCTCACCTAGGAATACAGAGAAAATAGGATCCATAACAGAAAAATAGAGAGGCTCTGAAGTGAGTTTCTATACTGCCTTTGTCTTCTTGTGAGACTTTTCTGTCTGGTTGGAAAATGCAACCTGCAGACATTGGTCTATCATATGGACTTTGGATTTGACAAACCATCCACTTTCACCAATTTTGGGTTCTGACCATGCACACAGCCAGAATGTAAATCTGACAAGTTTTGACTGAGGTGATGCAGACAGAAAAATAAGTCTCCCACCTATGATCAGAAAGAGCTTTAGCAATATCCAGTTCACCCTGTCTGCATAGTGAGGCTTCACTTGAGAAAAAAATGTTGATGAGACAAGCACACAGGACATTTCCATAAAATGATAGAATAATTTACTGCCTTTCCAGAGCAAGCATGATTCCTACCGTTTCCTGAAATATGATCTAGAGAATCCACTGAATGAAACGCCTCCTCTTCTGGTGCAGAAACACGGTGTCGTTCCTGGAATGGTGGTGGCAAGTATCTGATGGGTTTCTTGCAATGCCTATTGACCTCTTCATTTCATTGACCCTGCAAAAATTATTTCCTCATAATGCATTGAGGCAATTTTCCATAACCAGGTACTCTCCAGATAACTTTATAATGCACAACCACATATGCTGATCAGAAGATATGAGTGTTGAGAGTCCAAAGCATTGAGAAAGTACCATGCACTCTGCTAATGAGCAGTGATAGAAACAGCCAAAGATATTTCTTTAACTTTAAACTTTACTTTCTTTGTCTCCTTCCTGGTGGCTTGAATCAACCAGGTGAGCAACAATCAGGTTTACTGGTGGCAGAGATGGCTTCAAACCTGTCCACTCTTGAGAGCCACAGGCTCAATTTAAGAAGCAAAGATCGAGATTGCAGCTCAGAGCAAATGAGAGTGATATTAATATTGACTGACCTTCTGGCCAAGCTTTTGCTAATAGAGTCTGGCCTTATCTAAATTGTACTTCTGACTGTTATGTCACAGATGCAACAAGGGTGTAGAAATAATTCCACTGTACTGTCCTTATTACTACCCTATAGGCTCAAAGCAACAAGCATCACCTTGACTGCTTTCTTAAATGTTAGCAGCATTGTTTGCTGCTTCCTTCTTCTGGGATGGTTTTTTTTTAGACTTCCCAGTCTAGTTTTCAGAGATTTTCTGGTATTCTTTCGGGCAAGTACTAATCAAATTCAATCCTGGTTCAGCACTTGCAGTTCCTATTTAGACAAAGTCAGTCAGATGCTTCTCCCTGTTGCTGAGTCTGACACTAATTGCATTTCTGACAATACTCTGCACATCTATTGTTATAAAGAAAACACACGGAGAATCCTAGATAACTTTGGGAACAAGGGGTAGGTGGGTATGAAGAAATTTCCCTTTATTATTTTACTCCAAAGTCTCCACAAAACATCTCCGATGTAGCAATTAACATTTACAGAGGTCATGTTTTTGTGATTAAATTAAATTTTTTAAAAAATCCATATGGTGATACATTTGCATAATTGTTCAATACTAGGCCTCAATGACTCAACAGGATTTGTTAAATAACCAGGTTTATAATAGAATAATTTTGTCACTTTGAATGTACACTGATTGGCAGACATTAAAATGAAATTTCATTGCATACAGCTCTCAAAGGGTCTCTCAAATAATATTCACACACAACTTGTGAAAGATTTGACTGTTCATTAATTTCCTTTTTAAGAAAAGACTTGATTCCCAGTCTCTTTCTGATTTAATCTGTTTACCTGATCTGTGAAATTGACATCCTGATCTCAGTTTAAACCACAGAAAAATGGAAGCATCATGAAAAGGTCTTCTTCATATATATATAAAAATGCAGTAAGTGAATGTCTGAGTTTGGAATCCTATTCATTGCCTGAAATCTCATGCCATGTGCCAAAATCACACAATTTGTTAAATAATAGAGGGTTCTAGTATGGAGTACATTAAACTTATTTTAGGGTCTTTGGCACATAAAGTTCAAGTTTATTGACAGAGGCGCCTACTCAGATAAAACAGAGACTTCTAGTAAACACAGAATCTTTTTGTGTTCCAGTACTGCTTTTATTGCCTGTGAATTCCTCAGAATGGAAGAGTAATGCCTTGGGTGGACATATTCAGTATTTCTAAGGATTCTGCTGTTGTAGAAACAGTATTTTCCTTTGAGCATATCAGAAGCTATTGGGTAGCACTTTGTATTGAAATGCAATGAGGAAAATACAGCTGATATTTGTGAAAATGACGAAAAGGTTTGTGTTCCTTGAAAGAACTGTTACATAGGGTCAAGCTATTTTCCAAGGCACCTGAAGGCCAGACAAGAAATAATGGATGGAAACTGAACAAGGAGAGATTCAACCTAGAAATAAGGAGAAATTTTTTGACAGTAAGAACAATCAACCAATGGAACAGCTTGCCATCAGAGATTGTGGAAGCTTCATCACTGGAGGCTTTAAGGAAGAGATTGGATTGCCGTCTGTCAGAAATAGTATAGTATAAGCTTGGGCGGGGGATTGGACTAGATGACCTACAAGGTCGCTTCCAATTCTGTTAATCTGTTTCTGCTTATTTTAGCAAAACAACAACAACAACCCAACCCTCACACCTATTTGGAAAGAACCTAATAGATCAAATTATGAAATGTGCAGATGGATTTCACTTTCAGAATTAAATATTATAAGGATTATCTTAAAAATAACATCTAGACCTATGAAGGTCATTATTAATTAGCTCCTTTTAAAATCCACATTTATCCAGTTTACCATATGGAAGTTTAGTGTGCAACTTTCCCTAACACTTATGATTGTCAATATAAGTTTTAGCAGCATAGCTTTTTAATGCACAATTTAACACATTTTTTAAATTATTATTTTAAATCTTACATTTTTCACTCCCAAGATACATTTTTGAAAGCAGCTTTCAGAAATTTATGCTTTCTATGCCTTTTTTTACACATTTTTTTCCTAGCAAGAACTTTTTACTAGAAAAGGAAAAACAAACGCTACTGGATCCATTCAGTGCTGTTACTGTCCAATACACATTAGAGTTCATTTTTTTTCAGTCCTTAAAAATCTGCTTCCATAGAATTTCATGGTGGGTTATTTTTATATTTCTACTGACAGTATTATATTTCAACCTTTTTACAGATGCATGTAGTCCCATTTCCCAATTTAATGTACGGTAGTTAGCTTTTAATCACCTTGCTGCAACAGCTTCTTAAGAGTCTACCCTATTTCTGGAAACTTCCGGTTTGTCGGCTTCGCGAGCGGCAGGGATTTGCGAAGCTGCGCGATCCCTGCCGCGCTAGCCGTTTTTGGGGCTCCGACCCAGCTGGGTACGGAGCTAGGCTGCCCTGCAGGGGCAGCTGAAGGTAGGGGGGATCCGGAGAAGGGTTTGGGGGTGCTGCAGACTCCCTCCCTGGCCGGCAGAACTCCCTTTTCCCAGGATGGTGCAGCGGCGGTCTGTAATGGCCGCCACAAAGAAGCTGGCAGCCGGGTAAGAATGCGCAGGAGGAAGTGGAGAAAGTGATTGAGAGGAGAAAGTTTTTCTTGGCTCCTAGGACTCTAAGACATATCTAATAAAATTCCTGAAAAGTATGACTTTCTGAATAATACCTGCCAGAAGAGGAAAAAAGCGGCTGTTTGAAGGTGCTGAAAGGATAGCTTTCCCTCTTTTCCTACGGAATAAATAACTGGATATTAAGAAACCTATTTCTTTTAGGTGAAAATTGGTTTTAAGCGATGAGTGGGAAGAGAGAGGATTAAAAAGAAAACATTTGTATGCTAAGACTTTGTTGGAGCAGATGCCTTAAGGATTTGAAGACTAGAATATATTGCAATAAGATTTTAAACAGATTTGGACTTTCTTTCTCTTGGATTGATATTACCCCAGAAGGAGAAAGTGAGAACTCTGCCTTGGTTTGGACTGACTGATAACTTTGGGACTGTTTTATTTTTTTATTTTCTTTTGAATATTCTGGTTGTTGTAAGAAGAAAGAAGGGGAAAAGAAAAGAAAAGATTTATAATGGCTCTTTCTGTTGAGGAACTAAGAAAAGAATATGAACAAGCAAAAAAAAATGGTAAAGATGGTGTGGAAGAAGCTTTCCTTTTCTTAGAAATGGCGCTTATTAATTATCAACAAACATTACAACAGATGAAGACAGCAGAGGAACAAGAAAGAAAGAAAGGAGCCATTTTTAATGAATCTCAGAACTTGATCCAGAAAGAAGGAAGAGAGAAAGAAAAGAAAAGAAGAGAAAAGAAGAAAATTAAAGGACTTAAGGACTTAAGATCTAAAAAAACATTTAAGAAAGGGAAAAATAAGGTGTAAAACCAATATGATGATAGTAAACAAAAGGGAAAAGGAATACGACAGAGAAGGGAAGCTGGCAAGGCAGAGGCTAGAAGAAGGGGGGGTAGAAAGGTTTGTTGGGAGAAGAAAGAAAGGGAAAAGGTGGAGAAAAGCTACAATGTTTTGAAATTAAATGAAAAAAAGAAATTTTTTTTGGATAATGGATAAAGTATAATTTTTAAAAAAAAAAAAGATTTTGCAAGGTACATAAGATGAGATGGTAGTATTGTAATGATTTAAGAGTTGATAAGAGATTAAAATGTTAAAATGTTTAAAAATGATTGGCTTTAAAACTTAATAATAGGGGAGGTTTAGAATATTGTTTTAATTAAAGAGTTTAATAAGACTATGGTATTGATGTTATTATAAAATTTTTATTATAGTATCTTTTTTTAATATTTGGATTTATTGTCTAATTATGTACTTAATTATGTTGGATGTATTAGTTAGATAGAATGTACCAAGCAAAATCGGATTGGGTATTAGATATTATTTTAAAGATTAATTTGATTATTAGGGGGGAGATAGAAAGGCATCATACTCTGATTAATGATTTCAGGAGAAACTTATTTTCTTTTTTTTTATAAGGAATGAGACAAAGGGATGATAAAAAATGGACAAAAGATATAAATATAATGATTCAAATTAAGATGATTAATTAAGATAGAAGTAAGAAGTGTGAAATATGTGGGGAAGTTAATATAGAAGGCTTAGAATGGTAAATAAAATAAGTAATGATATGTAAGATGAGCATGAATATAATTGAAGTCCATGAAGAGAGAGATACCTGGGTCCAAGTTACTTTCCAAAAAGATTTTTTTTATGTTTTGTGTGTTGTGTGTATATGTCTTTTTGGGGGGAGAATTAGTTAAAAATTGTAGAAATATAGATTGAGAATAATGGTAACTAAGTCAGAAAGAAACAGATGAAATAATAATAATGATATTGAATAAGAGTAAAGAGAAGTAAAGAGAAATTGAATAAGAGGTTTTGGTATGTTGTATGGAAATGGTTTAAAACAGAATTATAATTTATCTGACTTGTTAAATTGACAATGAAAAAAGGTTTAAACATGTAATGAATAATGACAATTTGTGTGTTTTAAAAATTAATAAAACTTGTTTTAAAAAAAA